TTCAAAATAAAAAAATTCTTAGAACTAACATTTTTTAATATTTTTTATGTGTATATTGTATGTTGTCGCCAATAAAGTCTGCTTGGCGAGATTTGCGCCGGCGAAACGGAAAAGTACCCAATTGCTTTACACAACGATCAATGTGAGGAGGTGCACCGACCTGCATAAAAATGATGTCTTGAAGGCATCCTTACTGTTGAAATTGTGAGATTACAAAATCCCTCAGCATATCACGATGTTGTTGTAGAATAGGTTTGGATTTCATTTGCAGTTATCTCTTCAAAAAAATGCGGTCTAGTAGTAGAGGTAGCTATAGAGCCACAAGGGTTGTTCCTGAATAATCTGAGGATTTCCACTGTCTAAACAGTTGTGTGTGTTAACCTACCCTTTGAGATAAAAGTCAGCCCACAGAATGTTTCGTGGCCAAATGAGTCATGCACCATTCGAGCAAGAAACTAAAGTGCAAAAGTTTTACGAACCTTTAAGTCCGTATCCTACATTAGGTGCAGAGGCTTGATTTTGTATTGATAAAAATCCTTCGTAAGATATTTTGTACAGTTGAATACAACACATCCAATATTCAGCAAACAACTGGTACACTCACATTATCATGCGATGACTGACTGCTGGCTTCAGTGACTGTGGTAGCCACATTTTTGTCACTAAAAGATTGAATTTGTTTTTATTCTCTACCTAGAAGAATGCAAAGTTGTCTAGTTGTTTCATATTTTTTTATCATTTTGCGTAGAGCACGGGGAGGCATTGTCTTTTATACCTTTGTATCTGCTTAATATGCTGGAATTCTTTTACAGCTGCATAGGAGTTCTGCTGGTTCTAGAACAATTTTACCAGAAGTTCTTTTTTCTTGTAACATAAGCATGTTGTGCACAATCCAAAGAATTATGTTAAAGCAATTAAATACCATTTATGTTATAGCGCAACCTACCAGTGGATTTTAGTTTTTTTTTTTTTTTTTTTTTTTTTTTGTTAATTAAATGTCAAGTGTATCATTTGAACTATACGTAGTTCAAATTTAGAGCCTTTGAAATGGGAAACTTATTTCTTGCTAACCCTGCATTTCCTTATTATTACACAGAATAGTGTTGCACAAAAGCATATATTACCCACCTACGTTATAATTTTAAGTAGAATTTAGATTAGAAACATTGTACACTTTTGTTTGTATATTGGATTTCAAAAGTATTAGGTGTACAAATAAGTTTTGAGAGATTTACATAAGATGGCATTACTAGTATTAAATGTTATCATCAGACAATCTTGTAACTATATTCATGTTAAGGTGCCAGCATTTCCGTCTAAAAATCAGTCCGTTTCATTTTGCTGAAGTGTAAACAACAAATTTTCTTTGTGCTCAACCCATGTAAACCTTTGTACCAACAAAACAAAAGTTGCGGGAAGTGGTTCTTTTTTGTTTTTATTTGAAGAAAAGTACAGGTGATGGATATCAATTGCTGTATGAAGCATATGGGGAACATGTGACCAGTAAAGTTTTTAGACCCTGAGTTGTTTTATTGGACCAAGATTCATGCCAAACTTAAGAGGAGCCAAATCTTGAGAGTGACTCAGCAAGTGATTTCAAAGTGTCTCACGGAAATGGGTATGGTGCAAAAACAAGGAAATTGGGTTCCGTGTCAACTCAAGCTAAGAGACGCCAAACAGCATTTTTTTCATGTGCGAACAACTGATTGAAAGGAAAGATCAAATCGTGATGGGGGGACAAAAAATGAATCTACTATGACAACCCAAAGCACAGAAAATCGTGCGGTAAGCCCGGCCATGCATCAAACTTCAACGGCCAAACCGAATATTCATTTCAAGAAGCTAATGCCGTGCATCTCCTGGGATCAGCTCAGAGTGATCTATTATGAGCTACTCCAGCCTTACAACACCATCAGTGCAGAATGTTACAAACAACAGTTGAGGCAACTGAGCCAAGCATCGAAGCTCAGACATCCCCAGTATGCCAAAAGACATGACAAAGTGATCTTTCAGCACAACGATGCTCTCCCACATTCCACAAAAGTCGCCAAGGAAACTTGAGAGGCACATCAATGGGATGTGCTACCCCACCCGCTGTATTCCCCAGACATTGCTCCTTCTGACGTCCACTTGTTCCAGTCAATGACTCATGGCTCGGCCGAGCAGTACTTTATATTAAAAAGGCCAAAATTGGGTCGGTTCTTGTATTGCCTCAAAAGATGAGGAATTTTTTAAACGCGGAATCCGTATGCTACCTGAAAAATGGGGGAAAGTCATAGCTAACAATGGGCAATACTTTGAATAAAATACATTCTTCCAATTTCTCTGAATAAAGCTTCAAAATATTTAAAAAAAAAAAAAAAAAAAAAAAAAAAAAAAAAAAAAACCTCCTTTCAAAACTTATTTGTACACCCAATAATTTTTACAGTACATTTCAGTCAACAAATTAAGAAAAATGAAAAGATTCTATATAACTGAAGAATGCAAAATACAAGAGTAGTCCATTAAAAATAAGTAAATATGTATATTAAAATCTGCTGTAGACTTTCACCTTTTGAGCTTCAAGTCAAAATGTGTGCTTCAGTGTAGTCATGGCTTCCAGTGTTTGTTGATTTAAAGGAATCATCTTTTTCTCTGTCATCTAGCTTGATTTTGTTAGGTTGTTTCATTAATGTCTCTTTGGGAATAGTTTGAGTTATTTTATTTCTTTAGGCAAGAAGTTTGTTTAGGCAAGGTGTTGAATGTTGATTAAAATTACATAAATAAATTTAATCAACATTCTTGTAATATCCAAAACTGTGGTATACCGAGCTCATAACCAGGCTGTGCTCAATTTTACTAAAGGAATTACAGTAAGACCCCGCTTAACGCTGTTTCGGTTTAGCGCTCTTTTATTTCAACCCGGGGATTCCACGAAATCGCTCGCAGCATACGGGGATTCCCCGAAATATTATGCAGCGATAGGTTTCAAATACATATCCGAAAGAGTGTACTTGTATTTCTTGTTTGGTGTGGTATTGTACAGACATATTTTGAAGGGGTAAAATGTGGAAGATGTTTTGAAAATAATTCAAGAAGCAGCGGCTAGTCTTTATAATGATGAGCTCAAGGAATTAACTGAACAAGAAGAAAAACAAAATGTTGACAGCAGTGATTCAGAAGAAGAGCAAAAAGAACTTTCGATGGCATTTGTAAAAAGGAGTTTGTCTACCATAACTGAAATAATGGATCAATTCATTGAAAATGATCCGAATTTTGACAGGAGCTCAAAAGTAAGGCGTGGTGTTAGAGATGCTCTATCCGTTTATGAAGAACTTTTAAGAGAACAACGCAAAAGAAAACAAACAACATTAGATGCTTTTGTCACAAAAAGGCAGAACACTGAAAACGCGGAAGGCTACTAAATATGACTGACTTAGAATTTTATTTGTTTTTTTTTTTAAGAATATTCGTTTTGTTATTATATTTTGTTTTATTTTTGCAAGAAAAATAATGTGGTATTAATTTGGGCTTTAAGAAAATAAATGTTTGGTTTTATTTTTATTAAAAAAACATACTTTTTAAATTTAATACCTAAACCAATTTCCTAGCCATCTTCCCCTAACCCCAATATTTACATGTAAAGATAGCCTCGTTTAGCGCTGTTTCACATTACGCTCTACTTTGATGGAACGTATCCCCCGCGTTAAGCGGGGTCTTAGTGTATTTAATTCTGCTCCCTAATACAAGGGTAATCCAGAAATTAAGTTATATTTAGCAACTTACACACACACACACAACCCCACCCAAAAAAAGGAAATAATCATTTGGCATTAACTTTTATTAAATGATGAACAGCAGTGGTCAGTCTATTTTTTGACAAAGTACCACTATTGTTTAGGCATTTAATCATAGTGGGACACAAGTGTTTGGATGCCCTCATCAAAAAACAATACCACCTGCAATCATAACCATTGGTTAACAACAGATCTGACCTCGTCATCATCCGGAACTGCTTGCCAGCAAGAAAGGACTTCGGGTGCTTGAAAAGATGGAAAGTCACTTGGTGTGAGATCCAGGCGGTAGGAAGCTCAAAGCTTCCCATCGCAACTTTGTAAGGCATTGTTATGTTTAATGCAGTGTGGGTGGTCATGCATGAGCAAAATTACATTCCAAAGCATGCCGCAGTATTTATTCTATTTTGTTTCATGCTGTTTTGTAATCATCTCACAAAACATACTGTGTTGCCTGTTTGTCCGCATGCTGTGAAATCCACCAGCCATGTCGATTCCCAAACACTGTACAGATCAATTTATGAAACGTGATTAGTGGCTTGGCTTTCATCTGTAATGACGATGACACATACTTCCATTCCATTGATTGCAGTTTGAATTCGCGGGGTTACATTACACACCCAGGTCTCGTCACACAATGCAGCTTAAGGAGATATCACCCTAGGAAGTCTAGAGCACTGCCCTAAACATTTCAATCTGTACTGCTCTGTCAGATTGTGAGGTACCCACCAAGCACAGTTTTCAGAATTTCAATTTTTTGGACACAATCTCATGCGTAAGTGACCTGAAAATCTGAGGAAATTCCAGAAAAAGTGTCATTATGGTGAAACATCTCTGTTTTCCATAATCTTCACATTAACTGCTGCAATCAAATCATCATCAATCAGAAATGGATGCCCACTTCGTTAGTTATCATGAACATTTTCACGTCCCTTACTGAGTTGCCGCACCCACCATGGAACTGCTCATAGAATTGGGTCCATATACTTTAAAAATTTGTCTGTGAATTTCACAAGCTTTGATGTTCATTGCTTTGAGAAATCAGATGACCAACCATATCTCACAGGAAAGAAAAAGGTCTGATGTTTAAATGTTTTCAGAAGTTGATTTGAATTGACTTATTCAGATATTTAACTGAAATATGCTTCAGATATTCACCTTAATATTTTTCAGTTGTTTTTATTATGTGCTAATTATTCACACCCTAATTTTTTTTCCAAACTTTAGACTGTTTATTCAAGAGTTGCAAGGGTCTGCACCAAAGATAAAGGTGGACCACATAAGTTTCGAAATAGGTGGACTTCATTTTTAAAAGCCAGACTGAATTGCTCTATTCCTGGAGAGTTTCCATTCTATTTTAATGAAATTCGTAAGTATTTTAACATATAGTTTTTTTCCTTTCTTTATATATATTATTGTTTACAATAAAGCCTTGCTTAATCAAATTTAACTGAATTGATTAAATTAAATGATGCATAGTCATTGAGCCCAGTAAATCGGCAGTTTTCAATTTTGGGTACTTTTCCCATTTTACCGGCGCAAACGATAAAGTCGCTTGGGGAAAACTGAATATAATCACTTGGGAAAATGAAACACTTGGGGAAAATCTGAATGAATGGCATCGAAAATTAAGAGCATCATATATGTATGTTTCTTCTTAAAAAAAGGGGGTCCACATTTTGCGGGTAAAAATTAATAAATGTAGTTTGAAATTATAGGTTCATGTTATACACCAGAATATGTGATAATTGTTGTTTCATTAATAAGTATGCTATATGTCTGTTGTGCATTTACTTTAATTTCTTTCATTTTTGTATTTGTTACCCTACTGTACTGTTGTTCACATAATGTTGTAAACATTTTTGCTTTACTTAATGGTTTTATTTTATTTGTTATAAGTGCTATACATTTATTTATGTATCTCTGCCCTCCTCAGTGTACTACATTGTTGCTTTCACTTTCCTAGATTAATTTGTTTATATTTTAATGTTATTTTACAAGTATACACTATTGATTATATATTTACAATTTTATCCAGAGTCTACAACAAATGTAGTGACTGGAAAATACAGTGGCAAAGAAGCTCAGTTGATATATGCTGTGTTTACTACCCCACCGTAAGTACTCATACACTAATTGTCTTAATTCAGATAAGCATGCTTCTATTAAATAGGTCTATGACAGTCATTTCCTTACATGTGCCTGTAATAATAGGGTAATGTATGAATATTAAATTACAGTTGCTATTAACTGGTAAAGAAACATACCACTGTAAATTTTAAAACTAAGCAAACAAGCAACAGTGGATTAACATAGATTTTGAATAGAAATCAACTTTTTTTTTTCTACCTCCTGCTAGCCTATAAATCCTGCAGCTCCTGTAGGCCAACAAATACTGGCAACCCTCAAAACTAATTGAGTTTTATATTTATGTCAACCTAAATTTGTTAAATTTCTTAATGTTAAATTTCATGGGTGTTATATTATGCAGTAATGCTCCAAAATAAAATGCGTGCTCAGTAAAATCCCAAGTAGCTATCATTCAGCTGACTGGAAAGCTCAAATAATGGAATATTTTAAAATTTTAGAAATTTCTTTTATGTAAAAATGAACAAATGAAAGACTTGTAAAGGTATTGGTAAAATGTGTGTATAATTACTAATTAGAAAAAGCAAAACTGTCCACAGTGTGATTTAGTGGCAGTAATGGATATCCATGACATCATGATACATATATAAGATTGTCATCTTGATTTTATGCAGATCCAACTGCTATTTATCTGTTTTACCCTTGCATTAAAAACAAAACAATGAGTTTTAAGTAAACTATCACTTTTGATTGATCATTTGTAACTAAAATCAAATTTTTTTATAAACTTAATGGGTCATTGCTAATTAAAAAAATATTCATATTTTCTTATTCTCTCCTCTTGTGTGAAGTTTAATATTTTTGACCATATATAATGTAATGCTATATATGAGCGTGTTGCAACTCTCCTTGCCAATAATCATCGGTCTCATGGTTAACGCAGTACACCCAACACAGATTAGAACCAAAATGCTGTTAAAAACATCAAAGAAATTTTCAATTTATCAAATCAAAATTTCAGTATTGTTCTATTGCCATTTATAAAGTTCATCAAATCCTTTGCAAATCGTAACTTTTTCCTGCAGCAATAGAATTACTTTATGTTACCATGTTTTTCCTTAACATGTTGCGATAATATGCAGTCATCAATGAAATGTCTTGCATTGCCTTCAACACTACAAACATTACAAAGACTGTTATTTTGCAAATTAAATCTTGTACCCATGTCCAGTAATTACTTGATTGTAATCAAAATCGCATATCATTCTCATATTTTTAGAAACTTCAAAATTGAACAAATAATCCTTCCTTTTTCCTGAAATGTTCCATTTCTGTTTTCAGTGATCATAATAGACATCCTTCATTTTATCAGTAACAATTATTTTTTATGCCTGGATATAGATTACATCCCCAACAATATCCACAGCAGGCTGTTTAGCCAGTATGTCAGCCCTCTCATTGCCTATAACACCAATTATGGGCTTTCAGCCATTTCATTTTCACTTCATGTATTATCTTTACTTTTACAAGGAGATCTTTTATATATGAGACCAAAGTAAAATGTTAGCATCTGGTAGTGCTTCCAAACCAGTTAATGAGTCTGTACATACATATATATATAATAATAATAGTAGTAGGTAGAAACATTGCAGCGATCTTGTTAAAAAGTTACCAGGAGCTGTAGTTCCACGAAATATTTCAACGCTGTATTACTAAATATAAACTAAGAAAATTTTTTGTCTGGAAAAACTGAAACACTGAACAAATTAATGTTGGTGGAAGCATGCTAATGCCTAAAAAAATTAATCTGACCGTGTGATATGTGAAAAGTTAACACACATAAAAATAGATTGACGGAAAAAAAATATATATATAAGAAAAGTTAATACATATAATAAAATATATGGACTGAAAAAATGCCAATACATAAATGCAAAAATTAAAATGAAAACATAAATTGCAACAAACAAAAATACAATAATTACATAGCGGAAAATGGTAAATTAACAAACTCGTACCCTCAATTGGCTTTTCAATGAAAAAAAACTGAGTGTCGAACTAGGTTAAATGCCATTACGTGTTTCGCCGAAACAGACCATTAAAGCTCTTATTTAATGCGAAATTTTTTTTTTATAAAAAAACATGAATATTCCCAAATAAATCTTTTTTGGAGCTTCACTGCTCTGTTCCTTTTTCCCAACGCGTCCGCTGAAAAACACATTAGGGTATTAAAAGTAATTGCAACTCCGAGCAATGTAAAATTAAAATCAAAATAAAATAAATAGTGGTCTGCTATTAATCAAAAAATTACAACAACGTACGGGCTGGTCCTGTATAGCTTAAAGAAGATAGAACTTTTATAAAGAGAATGATGCTATAATCAAATAAAAAAGCAATTAAATTTGCAAGAAAACAAACGTTGCAGGGTCTTATTTGGACAAAAAAAAAAAAAAAAAAAAAAAAACACGGACAATAGAAACGAAAAAACTGACCTGAGAGGTGCCGTCCTTTGCATCCGAAAAATTTTTAGAAAAGGGTGCAAAACCCCTCCATGTCCAACCAACCTTCCTTCTCGTCGTGTGACGTAGGTGGGCGAAACAAGAAAATCTGCATAGGCCAATGGACTGAGATTGTAGTTTGGTGGGAATTCCTGTCCCCTCTTTTTTTATAGAGGGTGTGACAAACGAGAAAAGACACAGAAAGAACTCAAAATGGCGTCAGTCAAGTTGTTAGAAGAACAAAACTGCTAAAAATAAGTGAAAATGGCTAATTCAGCTAAAATTACTCATTTTTGGCCACAAAATAAAGAGTAAATTGGAAAAAAGTCATTTGTTAATAAAAGTCGTCATTCTTCAAGCTAGATGGCGGTCAAGCTACTATGAAAAATGCAAAGGCCCGATTTGTTAATAATAGTAGAGTTTGGCCTTCTAAGTAATTTAAAACTATTAAATAATGGTATTAAGTATAGTGTCAAAATCTTTGGAGGAAAAAAATGTATTTAGGAGAATAATCTGTACATTTATACAATTTTTACATTAGATTATCTGAATCAGCTATCCACTTTATATCGTCCCATTGGGCTTTAAGCATAAATTTCATTATCCCAAACCAATTATCTAAAATTGGTAGGCTAAGCCAGCTTTTTTTAATGTATTTTTAATTATTTTATGAGGAATTTGGTTATTTTTTCAAATTGTGACGAAGTATAGTACAGTAAGACCACGCTTAATGCTGTTTTCGTTTAGCGCTGTTTCGGTTTAGGCTCTTTTTGTTCAACCCGGGGATTCTCTCGAAATTGTGCGCAGCGCTAGGTTTCCAAATAACATATCCGAAACAGTGTAGTGTGTGTTTCTTGCTTGTGGACGCATTTTTATCATTTGAACATTTTTTGACATTATTGTAAGTTTAAATTGGTATAATACATAACGATTAATACAGTGACAAATATTATGATCTTTAGTTTTTATCATGTGATAATAAAAAAACAAGAAAAGAAAGCAACCAGAAAAAGCATTCACTGGAAACTCAAATGCAAGTGATTAGAAGATAGATTCTGGTGAACGTCATCTCAAATTAGTGCTGCATTGATTTGGCAACTTCAACAATAGGAAATTCTAGAATAAGAAAAAATACTGTCATCGGCAACTGCAACTACGTCAAGCTCTGCAACTAGAATTACCTGTTCTAAATAACATCATAGAGGAAATGGGAAAACGACTGTCTATATGGATTGACGACGAAATTGAACGCAATATGCCATTAAGCCAATCTATCATAATGCCTTCTTGACAAAAGGCAGAAAAGTGGAAACCCAGAATAGACTGATATCTGAGAATTTATTTTTTTTTTAAATGTATATGCGTTTATATTGTTTTTATTTTTGTAAGAAATAAATGTTTGATTTATTTTTATTAGAAAAAACATTATTAAATGTAATGCCTAACCATTTTTATCCGTCTTTCCCTAACCCCATTATTTTTACATGTTAAGATAGCCTCGCTTAGCGCTGTTTCGCATTACGCTCTACTTCGATGGAACGTATCCCCCGCGTTAAACAGAGTCTTACTGTATTTCTTCTTGTAAGTGTTCTGTAGTATTACATATTCTTTTTATTCTAAGTAGCTGTGAAAAAATTGTGTTAATGATGATTCTTTTGAAAATATTAGAATTCCAGTTTTTTAACTTTAGTGTAGAAAAAGTGAATTCTCTCCTCTTGTCGTAGATTTTAATAAAATTGTAATCATATATTTAGGTCAAGGTATACTATTTTTTGAGCTGTTTTTGTATTATTTAGTTTAAGCAAGTTGGGTAGATATTAGCAGCTTCTATTTTGTTATGGTTGTTAAAGGCTATGATATCATCAATGTAACGATATAGTGTTGGTAAAATTTATGTTCTTCTTTGTTTAGTGAAACGGACAAAGGTCAATTCTTTTGTGAAGAAAGGAATAATTCACACACAGCGCTCGAAAAATTCCCCCCCCCAATTGGGATTCCTTAAATTTGTTTGAAGATGCTATTGTTAAAGACAATAAAATTATTATTGAAAATTTCATTGAAATGAATTTCAATGAAATTATTATTGAAAAGCACGCTCGAAAGATAAAGTTGCCATTTTTCGTTATCAATTATTGTCGAAATCTGTAGAATTATATCTGGTAGAGCAAGTAAGCTGGTATAGATTTCTTCAAGTGGTAAGGTAGTATAAAGGTTCTTGAAATCATAGCATTGTATATGGTCTGTTTGAGTGAATTAATTGTCTTAATCACGAGTTCATTACTTGAAATCATCCAGTGCAATGCAGATCCTGAAAATCATAGTTATTATCAAGTCACGTATTAATGAAGTTTTTTTTGCAAAAGATAATCTATTTCTTTAAGATAACTTTTGGTACTATTGGCTATGAACCTGAATTTAATAGGAGACTTATGAAATTTGGAAGCGCATAGAGATTAGCAAATCTGTTATTATAGTTTCCGCGGGATGTATCTTAAGTCTTTTATGTAGTGCGTTAAATTTATTGATAAATTTGGTGCTGGTAGTAATCTTTTGGCAGGTGCAAGTGTTATTCAATTCATTATGCAGAAGGTCGAAGTAAAACTTTTTTCAAGTAACACTAAAACTGTTGCTAGCTTTGTCAATCTTTGTGATGATAAAGTTATCTTGCAGATTTTGAATAAGAATTTCTAGATGCTTTTTATTGTGCAAGGAATTGAAATTGGGCAACTTGAATAGCAAAAGTTGAAATTCTTTAATTACTGCAGCTTTCCATTGAAGAAAAGTAGTAGTAGGTAAATTGGATCTGTCACTAGCTAAAATGATAAATTTATCAAGATCATTATTGAATGTTTGAGGCAAAATGTTTATTGATACTGAAAGTAGGACGAAATTTGGTTCCAAGTTGTAAAAGGGCTCGCAATTCTAAATCTTCAATGATGTTAAGATCTCCTGGGAAAGGATCGACATATTTTTGGTAAGAGGTAGTTGGCAATTACACATGCTATTTTCTTGTATCTCTTGTGGTGGTTGATAAGAGTTGACCTAAGTTCTTTTCCTTTAAAGCAGGGCTTAATTGTAGTTGTTGGTCAGGAAGCAAGTGTTGATATTTTTTTAAAATGCTAGGTATTTTTAGTTGATCGTAAGAAGGGTGTTTGAATTGTACTGTATATATTAATATATGTTTTTACCATCATGTTTACATCAATCCATTTTAAGGGCAAATACAATAGCAACCACTTTGTCTGGAAAAAACAAATTGTAAGGTTCAAGTCTAATTTTACCGTAGTCTATTTCTATACCAAACAAGTAAACCACATATGCTGCACCGGTTCTATTGTCATAACCCAAACTGTCAGTAATATATCCAGTTCTCCTATGCAAACATGTGGTCTCTGATATACCACTGATTTTTCTTAATTCAGGATGTATACTGTTAATATTGTTAAAGGCAGAAAAACGTGTATTATATGCAGTAAAACCTCCATATGTAATAAAATCAACATTTTGTGAATGTAATTTAAATTTATTATAATAAAAAGAATAAAATATCAAAAGGAGCAGCATACTGGTCAATATGCAAATGACTTCCATTGAGACTGTTTTTAAAGCATCTGGTCAGAAGCAGCAGCCAGTGTTATTATATTGTATGAAATTTATTTCTGATTTTCTGCAGGTCTGTTGCCCTCGAACCCCAAGCTGCAGCATGGTATAATATAATGGGAGCAACAACTGTTTTGTAAATTAATCCAATAATGTTGCATTTCAGTGCTAATGGCTCAGATGAGAAATTTCTTGTACAGTACATCAGAATAGAGTTAGTTCTTTTATAAATATTATTAAAATGTTCTTCAAAATTCAGTTTACAATAATAATAATAAGAAGAAACCAAGATATTTAAGGTTTTCAACACATTTCATTTTAACACCTTCATGTTTTAGTTGTGGTGGTCTAGTTTTTTTTCCCCCCACCCTAAGAGTAAAACAAGAAATTATTGTTTTGCAAATTTAATCTTTTTTTTTTTTTTTTCTTTTTCAGTCCACATTTTTAGATCTTCTACAGTAATCTAAGAATCTTCTATCTTCTAAATGAAAACAATTTCTCTAATTTCTCCAGAGAGTTTTCTCAAATCAGTATAAAATGTCATCAGCATAACATAACATTCTTACACCATTTGAACCCTCTTTCCTGAACAGTCCATACATTATGGTGTTCCAGAACAGCAGAGCACTGCAGGAACAGTGTATGCATCCCTTATAAAGTCATCATACAGTGTTTCGAATTCACAAATTAATAACTTAATAGTGTAAAAAATTTTTAAAGCAGCATATCTTTTAAAATTCTTGATAAAGTGTTAAATACTACCATACATTTCTTTTTCCATCTTTTCTCAGTTTATGATATCAATGCTCAGTTTTACTAATAAGATGACCAACTCTTTTATTTTAGTGTTTTTATCAAACATCACTTTCTTCACATTTACACCACATAAAATTCAACAACAAAATCACAAAAACTAAAATGAGCATATGTTAAGAATTCCTAGTAGATTTTTTTTATATTCACTATTATTTCTTAAAATAATAGATAGCAATAACATTTAGTGGAAGCATCCTTTTATTTGAAAAGTGATGCTATAAAGTCATTAGGTTAATTTGAAGCAAGAGACATGAAAAATGAGCTATACCATTGCTGGGACTCGAACCTGGACCTCTCAGATACACGTCTAATGTGCTTCTTATTACACCACAAAGGCATTTTGGGAGAAGGGAGAAAATGCTGTATGTAACCGCCTCCCTTTTTAAAGTGTGACTGGGTATTAGGGCCAAATCCTAATTGGCAGCAATCGCCACGCCAGGACTTGAACCTGAACCTCTTAAATATGTGCCGAGTGTGCTACCATTACACCATGGAGGCATCCTGTAAGGAAGAAGAAAATACCTTATAATGTGACATAAAATTGATGATTTAAGGCTAATACATTTAATTGCTGCGTAATGAAAACTTGTCTTCATAATAACCTTATTCTTGATGCATTTAGAATAATTCCAAGAATATATTTAGTGCTTATAAATGTAATGTATTATTTTCAATCATATACTTATTTTAAATACTAAATTTGAGAAGTTTTGGATTATCTTATAATGAACTTTTTTATGAAAGTCTGTTGAGAGCTTCAAGTAAAGTATCATTCTGGTTTATCAGTTTTAGCTAAAGTCTAATATGTTATTCCCATTGATATAAAAAGTATCAAATTCTAAACTGAAAAGTTTTAAATTATAATTTAAGATAATTTTTTATTAAAAATCTTTATGGGGTTCAAGTAATGTACCATTTCTGGTTGTCCATTAAAGATTGCTATGGGGTTCATATAAAGTATCATTTCTAGTTTTACCGAGAATCTAATGAAAGTTTTATATGAATGTAGAAAGCTTGAAGAACAAACAGGAAATAGAAATTTTTGGAAGTTTCATATAAGAGATATCCTGGAAAAAAAAAAAAAAAAAAAAAAAATTCATCACCTGCAGTCAGACAGACATTGTAAAAATAATGTGCTGTGAGGAGTCTAGTTCATGTTTATTTACTGAAAACTCACTATCAAATTTTTGGATTGAAGATGTTACTTCTCTTACTTATGCATATAGGTAGGGAGGAGATAAAAATGGATAAAATTGGAGACATACTTTAAACAGCACAACCTGCAGAAGAGTATTTATAAAATTATTGGATCAAGATCAAGAAAAACTTAAAGGAACATGAAAGGTGACTTTTATTTGAAAATACAGCAATGCATTCTGAAAAATCAAGGCAAGCAGTTTAATATGCAATGTCCGTAACTTTAATCTCTTGATTTTCTAACTAAATAAACAGCAATCAGTTCTTTTAGACTTCTGCCAAAAGGATTGGTGCAAGTATGGTAGGATTCCATAATTGGATAAGAGGCTTTACTTTCATATGCTTAAGACCCTTCAAAAATGCACTGGATTTTATATCTGGAAATGTCACCCCCCTCCAAAAAAATCTTGTATAATAAATGTATGGTTTCTCTATTCAAGCTGATAAAAAATAAGTTCTTTTAAAAATCTTAGACCAGAAATTTCTTTTTCTATTCAGTTGGCTTTTCTGCTATGAATTGCATTTTTTGTTTATACTCAGTTATGTAGAATTTCACTTAAGTTGCATCTGCTATTTTCTTGAGCTTTCTGGATAATCAAACTTTTATTGTACTTTGAATTTGTATTACAGGCATTATATCTATAGTTTAATATGTTGTATAATATAGAATATTATATATGGATGAGAAAAATTAGTTATGGATGCTGTGTTATAGCCTGTAATGTTTTTAATTATAACGTGTGTACTGGATATGCAATCATGACATGATAATATACTGTTTGCAGAAATAGCATCAGTGGCTCAGCTGTATGTGCCTTCAGTTTAGAAGATGTTCTTCATGCTTTTAATGGACCTTTTAAAGGTCAAGATGACATCAATTCCAATTGGCTTCCTGTAGCAAGTACCAAAGTACCTGAGCCTCGTCCTGGACAGGTATAATGTTGCTGCATTTTAATCAGTGTTTTTCTTTGTATATCTTGCTGATGATAGCAATGAAAATTGAGTTACTTTAAAATAATTAAGTACTACTTACTAAAACTATTAAAACTATTATGTGCATTAAGATTTTTTACATATAACTTGATATTTGACGTTTTTCAGTGTGTGAATGACTCAAGAACATTGCCAGAGGTGACAGTCAATTTCATTGAGGTTAATAGTCTAATGGACAGGGCTGTCCCATCATTCTGGAATCATCCTGTTGTTTTACACACAGTATTTCAGTAAGTTTTTTTTTTGGGGGGGGAAGTACTTTAATTTAAATTCTTGATAATTTGGGAAGTACTGAATTTTGTTATGATAATGTAATTATTAGTGCTCCCAATGTGAACCCAGGATCAATCTCAAGTTGCACAATCAACTGTGTTTTCATGATTTTGTCCTTTTATAATATAAATGAAATAAGTTTCTTTAATAAAATCCTCCATTAATGCATTTCTCTTTTGTATATACAGTACAAAGTCTGAATCCAAATGTCCAGTATCTGAAATAATTTCTAATATCCAGACTTCTGAAACTTATCAGTAATTTCTTTTTCTAACTCTAGGACTGAAAATTATAATCGAAAAGAAAAGAAAAAAAAAAAAAAGGGATTTTTCGGAACTAACGCCCCTTTTTTTCGTATTAATTAAACTTTTATATCTCTTTTTTTTTTTTTTCCCTGTATTATAATTTTTAGAAATGAAAATTATAGAAAAAAAGACATGTAAGTTATTTATCTCATGACAAACTATAATTTCTATATGTCTCTTTAAACATCTACTGTCTTGGGAATCACAATGTGGACTATGACAATATATTGATTAATATTAGCCATGACTGTGCATTCAAGCCTTGAATGGCTGTAGAGAAATGGATTAACATACTTATTTGGAGTGGGGTGATACTCATACTAGTTTTCTTTTGTTGACATAGCAGCAGGATAGGGAGAAAGAATTAGATTCCAAAGAACATCAGTTAATATAAAAATTGCTCTTTTTTTGACATACCGTCTGGAGAAAGAATTAGATTCCGAAGAACTGAAGTTAATGTAGCAAACTGTGCTGTTCCTTAACTTTCTCATTTGATGCAGCCTATTATTATTGCAGCTATCCAGCAGAAAAATTAAAGTTTTAATTTTCGATTACATTGAAAAGTGTTTTCTAATTTTGAAGTTGAAGCACAATCTGCAAACCTAAAGCCTATTTGGTACTTTTCCTTTCATAGCAGTCTTGGTGAGCGAAAAGGGCATTGACCCAATTCAGGCTTACGAAAGTTCAGTTTTAAAAATACGAGCAAACAACAGTTTTATATTGGTGTAGATTTTTAACTTTATAGAAGCGAAATTTTCCAATTAATGAAATTTTTGGAGAAATGTGAAGAGGCGATAATAGAAGATGATGATGAGAATCATGAAGAACACAAGATTTCCATTGCAACATCTTTTCCATAATTAACTAATGATTATCGAAATCAGTAGTATGGTTTTAAATCCAGAAAATTTTACCACCAATAGTGAAGAAAGTGACAAAGAGGTTTCTAAGAATTAAAAGATTTCGATTGACAGTTTAGTGGGAGTTCTCAGCATGGCAGTTATAGGACTTAAACAGTGAAATTGACAGCTGAACATGAAATTATGTCTATCTATAAAGTTAAAGAGAAAGTATTAGCCCCCCAAAAAACCAAAAAGCGTACATTGACAGAAATGGCTAATGAAACAAACAAACAAATTTAAAACTCTTTAGTGAATTTTGGTTTCTTTAAGATTATAATGCTTCATTATTTCATCAACAACTATTTCACATTTTAATTTTACCATTTTTGTATGTCATCTCACTAAAATCAAACTGATGATCCAAAATCCAGAAAATTTCAAAATCCGGAATCACTGTTCTGAGGAATCTGAATTTGTACTGCAGTTAATCAACCAAGCATTATTTGCATCATCTGGATTTGATTTCCTTGTATAAGAAGACTGAATTAAATTAATTTTACTGAATGTTAGTTATGAAAGTAAAGCAACATAATTTTGTTTTCATTGAAATATACACTGGTTATTCACCACAGTTTATTGTTTATATAAAATCTTTTTATACATTATTGTGTACTAAATACATATTTTGGGTTCTGTGTACTAAGCGACCAGTTCATATGCTGGTATTTCTGTAATTAAATGTAAAGTTATTTTAAGATTCAGAATCATTCACAAAGTGCTCCACAATCTGCATTCCAGATTTGTAGCACTCTGTTCACAATTAAAAGAAAAAAGGGAGAAAAATAAAGTTCATAAAACTCATGTAATGTAATATCCATATTATTAGAGCAAACTTTGAAATTAATTTTTTTTTTCAATTCTGTGCTTGTGTTAATATTAAATCTGTTTATATATTGTTCTCTACCCCCTTCACTTATTTACGGGTTAAATTAAGATCAAATGTCAGTTATTATGCTGGAGGTCTGTTATTGGATTTTAAGCCAGTGCTATCCTTATGCATTAAAGATGAGAGGCTGCAAGAGTTAGTATTACATCCAAAGGAATATTATATATTTTTGTGATGTCTTTATTCAAATTGTTGTGATAGTTTGTGAAGGGAGGCCTCCATCTAACATTTTATAGTAAGCCTTTTTATGTTATTTTTATATTAACTCAAATACTATGCAAACTTAACACTATTTTGTTATTCCAGGTACCGTTTCACACAAATTGCTGTTGATCCTCAAATAGAAACAGCAGATGGAAAGCATTATGATGTTCTGTATGTGGGTACTGGTATGTAATCTCTGTGTCTAAAGTTATACTTTGAAGTAAAAGCAGTTTTTCTTCATAACAAGATATGCTCATAATACAACATATGTTGCATCTAAAGTTTTCTGATGATGATTTGGATGTCTATTTGAGTGTTAGCATTATTTTCCGTCCATTGTTTTTTCACGAATAAATCTTTTCTTAGTAAGACAAGACTTAGTAAAGAGATAAAATAAGGAATTTGGGGTGTTGGGGGGGATTGGACAAAACAGTAACTTTATTTCAACATAAATTTTGAGGATGATCAGACACATGTCCCCTTTTTCAATAGCAAACATCTTTTGGCTAAAATAAATAAATAAATAAAATGTAAAAAATTACTTTTGGAAGAAGCTCTTAAACAGGAGGGAAAAAGCTCTTTGCAAAAACTTCAACTGTATTTGTTTCCAAAATTAAAATACTATTTCTGCTATTATGTTTTGCTGATTTATTAAATATTTGTTTCCCTACTTTTTAACCGCCCACCAGCGGCCGAGCGGTAAAGTCGCTGAACACTGGTAGTTTTCCCGGCGGTCCCGAAACGTTCCCTGCATGGGGTTTTCATGGTTTTCCCCATGGAACGGGTACGAGCAGTTCTCTAGAAAGTCCTTCACGAAGGCATCCCTCCTCTTAGGCAGATAGCCCTAGTGTGCTTTGCCATAATTAAATACACCACCTACTTTTTAACCTCTGTTCATTGTCATATTTCTCATTTTTAATGTCAGAAAAAACTTCACAAATTGTATTTGCTAGGAATTATTCCTATTCTTTGCTGATGTAAACATGCATACATGCTTCTGAGAATGTAAATAATCTTGTTACAAAGTTAAGTAGACATGAACATCTAAAAAACTATGTATGAGTGATTTGTTTACTCATGTTAACCGCATAAATTCAAAATTAATATTAAACAACAGCAAAATAGATACACACATAGATATCTGTCTAAAGCAAAAAAATTCAGATTCATGATTCATATTTACTGTAAAAAAATATTACTGAGACAAGTGCAGAAAATGCCAAATAACTTCAGTCAAAATGTATTATAAATTGTATGTAAGTGTATTTTTGTTAAAAAGTTATACGTATAAAAAATTGTCATTGAGAATTTTCTGAAAACAGAAAATTTGTTTGTTTATGTCCAAAACTTATCATGGATTATCTGAATCCTACTGTATTATTTTCTTTTATTAATTATTATCTTTGCTAATTAATTTTTTATATTAAATTTTAAACTGCTTTATTTTTAGATAATGGAAAAGTGCTGAAATGTATAAATGCAGGAAGTGATTCTTCCACTGGAAAAGTTATTCCTGTTGTGATTGAAGAATATCAAGTTTTCCAACATCAAATGCCAATTGCAAATCTTATGGTTTATCATACACCTTATGAAGCAAAGCTTGTTGTTGTATCTCGTGAAGAAATCAAAACAGTCCCATTATATAGCTGTGATCATTATGCCAAAACTTGCAGGTATATGAACTTATCTTTTCCATGGTAGTATTTACATAAAATCTATTCATTTTTGGAATTGTTTTTACATTCTGCGGCAACTTCTTAAAAATAATAACTACATATACAGGGTGACCCATATATCTATTAACTTATACAGCTTTGAAATGACTGTGTACTCATAGACATTTCATGCAAAACATTATACAAATAATACTGACATCAGTGAACCTTGAAATTAATGTCTTCTAAATCAGCTTCTGTTTGGATGCATTAATTGAAACAGTACCGAAAAGCATATTGTATCTTGGCATGTCTTGTAGAAAAGCATGAACTGCATGGCTAATGACAGTTTTCAATTTCAAGTCATCAACAATTGATATGCATAGATTATCTGCTTCAGGTAACCTTCAAAGACCTGAATTAGTCTGGAGTTGTCAGATCTTCATAGTTGGATGGCCAAGTCAAATTGCCAAAGTGAGAAACTTAATAATTGGGGAGTACAGCCATGCTTGCCCATTGCATATTCATATTAGAGCCAGGTTGTATCTATCAACTGTCTTGCCCACAATTCTGGGGATGGTCATCGTTCCTCTGCAGTAACCACTGAGTGCTGGCAGCATAGTTTATTTTAACTACAGGCTTGTGCCATTACCATATACAATCAAAAGTCGTTAATTCGGACACCCATAATCCACAATGATCTATAATCCGGACCTCAAAGCTACAAACTTTCTGCGCATGCGTCGCGTTGATGCATGCGCGTAAGACCTTTACGGCTGCGACTATGCGTTTGCGTATGCGCATAATACGTTTACGCATGCGCGTTTAATGTATAACGGACGGTATAAGCTAAGCTAAAATTATCTAATTCAGTTAATTTGCAGATTGCTTTTGTTCCTTAATCTTCGAATTGGATCCGCTTATTATTTTTTTGCAGACTGTTAGAGCATTTTTATAATAACTTGAACCTTCGATTATGTCAAAGAATTTCGATATATATTACTCATGTAAAGGATCTACAAGCGAAGTATGTTTTCGAAGTCCATTAAACAAAAAGTGGAATTGCTGAAAAAAATGGATAAAGGCATATCCTTTGTTTCTTAACCATTCCGAAATCTGTTTATCAATTTCACGCTGCTCTGCCCCGCGCGAAGGGGGGCGGCAATAATTGGAAGTTATCTGTCCAGCACTATCCTTATCTTCAGGGCAGATGTTTTTTTTATTTGGCTTATAATTCCTTACAAATGTAGTATTTCATCTCAATGTATTCCGTCTTGATATGATTAATCAAATTCCTTTCATTATAAAAAAATCAAAGAGTAAACCCACTATGAAATAGTCGGTTTCTGGTAGCCTTGAACTAATTTAACTGAACCTAATGTCTTATGAATAAGTATCATCACATACGAAGCACTTGCTTGTTGAAAATGTTTAATAAGTAAACATAAATATTAACTTTTTTTTTTTTTTTTTTTTTACCCTTTAGAGCATCAAATGTTCTTTATTTCATAATTTGGTTTCATATTTTTAATTTTATAATTTCTGCTGCATCTTAACCAGATTTAAACTGATGATCTATAATCCGGAATCGATGAAGTCCCGACGCCGGATTAATGACTTTTGACTGTACAACTGAATTGACCACGGTATACTAATGCCATATTCCAATTTCTTCATGGATATAAGTATATCTTATATTAGCATGTGTATTCTGGCAGAATTGCAAACTCATTGGTAGATACAGTATGCACCTCCTTATATATATGTTATGTACTGTCAAAACCCAAAGTTGGCATCTTCATGAATTAACCCAGTCAGTCATGCCAAACCCAAAATATACAACAATGTAATCATTACTTTGGGCTTTCATCACCACTTCTAGGTTTATTCATAAGTCACTTTTATGGGAGACTAAATGTATTTTTAAAAAAGAAAGGGTCTATCAAAGCCAATGAACTGCAGGCTTATTACAGGTGACCTATGTGGTATTCATGGCCAATTCATGAATCGCCATTATAGTTTAGTGCAGTAAATTAGTTAGATTGTTAAAATTAAACCAAAGGACAACATTGGCCCCATTGATAGCAAAAACAGCCACTAATATAGGACAGTGCAATGTTTGTTACAGTGGGAACAGCTGTGAAAGCAAGTGAATGGTGAGTACATAGCAACACAATTAGCATAATGCTCCAAATCCTTAGAAAACACTCCTTAAAGGCCATTTTTAATGTCAGAAGCATGTAACAGTATTGAGGCTGTGATATGTTCATCCATTTTCAATGACTTTTGCATCTATAAAAATTTTTATTGCCTTATTTATTTATTATTATTGTATTTTTGTTGTGCAAAGGAAATATCATAGAGATTTTTAATTATGTAATACTTATAGTGCTTACAATAATGTGGCATTTAAGCATTACACAATTTAATTTTATTTTTCATCCATCAAAAACACAAGTTTCATGAAACATTTTTAAAAGTGAAGTAATTTTTAACTTTGGCCAATGTCTCTAGAAGAAATTTAGAAGTGTTTGGCCAAAGCCTGAAGTAATGTATAATCAGGCATTAGTAAAACTGACTGACATTTTTTTTTTTTTTTTTTTTTTTTTTTTTTTTTTTTTTTTTTTTTTTTTTTTTGTCACTTAGTCTGGCTTTAGTTAAAGCATGTATAAATAATCTGTAATCTGAATAGCATATATACTGAGTTCTTTTTACATGTGATTAAATCTTTAGTCAAAGTATATGTAAATAATCTGAATAACACACTATATACTGAATTCTCAAATTCATGAAGAATGAAAGAATGAAGAAAAACGTGCCAAATTTAAATTAAGGCTAAAAGCGAATTTATTTTGATATAGATCTTTGGATAAAATTCTTTAAATTTTAAGGGCAGTCAGAGTCAGATTTGTCTTCTTCAGGAGGAAGAACAAATTGCCAAAAAAGAAAATCACTGAAGGAAGCAAATGATCAAAGCTAAAAGAAATTTCTCAAAAGTGCTGGTTGGTGGCAAAAGCTCAGAATTGGCAAAGAAACACTACAAAATTTAATTTAAAATTGGGCAAACCAGCAAACATATTTTGGCATAGATTTTGAATAACATTCTTATCAATTTTAAGAAAGATCTGACACTTCCCTCCTCTTCAAATGCAAAAAATATTTTGCCAAAAACAAAATTGCTGAAAGAGGCAAGCAAATGAAACTAAAAGAAATTTCACAGAAATACCAGTTGAACTACTTTGGTTTGGGGCAGTTTTTTTCCTTCTCCACCGAAGAACTGTGTGTGATTACCAAAGTCAATAAGCTTTTATTCAGAATCTATGCCACAATAAGGTTGCTGTTTTTCATAATTTAAAAAAAGCTGAGTTCTGTTAATATAGTGTATCAAATCAGCCATTAAATTTAAGAAAGTGAATACAGATTACAAAATAACTTACATTTTTCATATGTATTTTGTGTAATTATATTATAGTGAAGTCTGCCTTTGAAAATATAGATTATATCTCTAAAAACATAAATACGCATAAGCGTTACTTCTCCGTAGAAGATCAAAAGTGCCTAGAACCATTGATAATCCTTGCAGAGAGGTTTCACTGTAATTTATATTCCACGATAGCTGTATAATGTGATTATTGTATCTTATGATATAAATTTCAAAGTAATTTGTTAGTGATTCATAATTGAAATAAAAATGTATGATTTAATATAATTCGTAATGAACAGTGAGAATTTTAATATCGTAGAATACTAAAGAATATGTAAAAGATTAAATTAGCAACGTAAATTTACCTACTCAATTCTAAAAATAGTAACCTCTATTTGCACTGCGTCATTTTGAAACTAATCTATGTCATATGATTCTTACATAATTATGATGATGTAAACGGAACTAAAATTCAAACAGCCAATAATAATTTTACAGAATATAACTATCCATCAAAATCATTGAGAACCAAAACAGCTGTCTGAATAAGATTTACCCTAACATAATACACTTGCTTTGGTACGCTTGCCTGCCTGACTGCTATCTGTCTACTCCTCGTTCTTCCCTGCAATTCATCTAAATGGACATCTCGGTAAACACGATTATGGCAACTGATTGGGCTTCACATGTTTACTGAAATAAAATTTGATTAAATCTCCTTTGACTGCAAAATTTCGTATTCATTGTGGATCGGCATTTTAGCATTCTACGACATCAAAATTTTTGCTGTTCATTACGGATTCAACCGCCTGCATTCTACTACACAATCTATTACAACAGTTGTTTTTGAACTCTATACTTATTATATAAGTAAATACATTAATTAATTGTAATAAATTGCCTATTACTTGTGCAAAAGCTGCAAAGAAATAAAATAATAATGTATTTACTGATGGATTATTTAGTATATTATCTCCTTTGATAAAGGTAGTAGAATTTTAGCAGAATGACATAACTTATAAGAACATTTAAAAAATTAATCTTGAATTTTTTATATATAAACATCATATATGAATCATACATATGAAATCATCATATATGAATCATGAGTAAATTGAAAATGAAAACTCTAAAAAAAATGAAAATATAGTTGACAAACCAAGTAATTATCATCATTGACCAGAAATTGGTTGACTTTTAAGGGCTCTTTTATTTCATGGTGGTTAGTTGATGTTTTTTGATATTTAAATGCAACTATTGGTCTAGTGTATATAGCTGGTAAGAAAAGGTGACATTTGTTGAGAATGCGTGAGAAGCGTAAATTGTCAAACTGTGGATGCAGAAAATTAATTTTAATATAAATTTTGCATTTAGTGTTACAGTTAGAAGGTTTGTATTTACGGTAATCAAGAACTAGGTCTTTTGTAGATCACTGTATTGTTCTAGAAAATATTTTTCAAGTATTAAAAGAAATTTATTAGTACGAGAGTGTAACCATATAAGTTGTTTTTTTGCGAAATTTGCAGAATCAAAAAATTTTTTTAATTGTTTCAGCACTTTAATTGAATCTAAAGTTGGTAAAAATATTTTTTTGATTCTATTCCCTCTTTTACCTCTTTGTGTTTTGGTGCTGGAAAATTTAAATTGGCTGAATATTGATTTATTAGAATGATCTCTGCAACTTTGAATGTAAGTATTAAGTCCGTAAGTATGAAGCGTATGTTGTTTGAGAGTATATAGCAGTTCTTGAAGAATTCATATGTCCAAAATCTGCATTTTAATATTATTGAAGTCATGATGTTTAAAATGTTCTATTTCCGCTGAGTTAAGTTGGCTAGATGAATTAATTTTAGTGCCATTTATATATATTGCTTTGAACTATTTAATATAAGCTCTCAGGGATTGGTTTGTTCCCCTTGAAAAGTCAACCAATTTCCGGTCAATGACAATAATTACTTAGTTTGTTGATTACATTTTCATTTTTTAAATATGCTTATAAGTTATTTCATTCCACTAAAATTTTATTACCTTTATCAAAGGAGATAATGTACTAAATAATCCATTAGTAAGTAAATTGTATATATATATATTCTTTTATGGCAAGTATACTTACAATGCACTCAGTTTTTTTTTCTTGTAATGACTACTAATTATTTATTTCAGTGAATGTGTTTCTCTTCAAGACCCTTATTGTGCATGGGATAAATCACGAGGCGTGTGCAGTAGTTCACGACATAGGTAAGTTAAATGTTTTAAAAGGAAATAAAACTCATTTGAATAGTTGTGTGAAAGTTAATATAATAGAATTATTCCTGCTGATTGATTGAATTGATTCTTTTGATTATTGATTTTTTAGAGTGGGGTAGTAACAAGTTTTAATATTTCCACTTTTTTCAACGTTTTTTTGTTAATGAAGTATGTTATTTATATTAGTGTTGATACTATTTCTAGCAATAGTTACTGTATATTCCGGTATATAACACAATGCAAAAAGTAAGATTGAAATTTACAGATGCACATTATATGCTGGCTATAAAAATGATAGATTTAAAATTAAGCAATGAGCATAAAAAAAAATTAGATTTTTAGGTGTACCTGAATGCTGTTTATTTAAAAGAAATGACATACCTTAATAAACCTAAAAATTTTCATTATCGGATAACATGAATAATTCATCATATTCATCTTCTATTATATCTTGAATTCTGTTTCATCTTCAAAGTCAGTGTTATGCTGATCCATAAATAGGTAATCATCTTCCATTCCTTCTAGACTGTTAGATATGCTGCATTTTTAAAATGACTTTTGAGTTAATTGGGGTTTAATTTAATTGCCTGCTTTTATTATCCACTCACACACTTCTAAACTGGTGTGAGGCATTTGACCTCCTTTTGTAAATGTTTGTTCACCTTCTAACATTCATGTATTCTACTGTCATTTCAAATTTTCTTTGAATGGTTTATTGATATGCACATTACCTGGAATAACTGGCATGTGTGGCATTTTTCTACCTGGAATAACTGCCCTTTCAATAATTACTTCTTAATATCCATCAGAGGAGATCTAAACATGTCCCAGACTAAAAGACTTTCTGAATTCATTAAGGCTTAAGGATGCTTTTGACAAACATTTCTTATGCACAATTTCACGTGGTTTTCATCCAGCCATCCTTTCTCGTCAACATGAATGAAAACACCGTTTGGTAAAATACATTTTGGCATCATCTTTCTTTTAAAAATAACCATGGGTTTTAGTTTTAAACCAAGCAGGAAAACTGTGAAGTGACATCTTTTGTGACCTGTTGTTTTAAGGTGAACTGTTTTTGTTCCTTTCACACCAATTATTTTATTTTCTATCACTTCAAACATTACTAGAGTTTCATCCATATTTCAATATGTGACAGTAAATATGTTTTTTGCCTTCATAGGTCATAAGATACTTCTGGAAACCAATCAATTTATTATCCAAATCTTTTGGAAGCCTTTGTAAAAATTTTGTTTTTTTCTCATAGAACTAAAATATTCTGTGCCAAAAATCTACTACACCAACTCAAAGTTCATTTTAAAGTTTTTTTATTTTCATTCTTTTTGGCTCACTTTAAGGCAAATAAACGCATACTGTTTCTTGTTACAATTAATCCATTCTGACGCCTTTCTAGGATTCAGTTCACAACACTTCTAGGAAAGGCCATTTTGTTACACATTTATGCAAAGTGCATTTATTCTTTAGCATATTAATTATTGTAATTTCCTTTTTCTTTCACATATGTATGGAGCTTTCACCAATACCAAACATCCTTGCTGCAGCATGATTTCCATTTTCTATCACAAAATGAATGGCTTTGCATTTGAAACCAGCACTGTATTTGTTAGTTTCTTTTCACGGGAGCCATATTTACTACTAAAAGGAACATTAGATCAACTGTATTTCAACTAAAGCAAATGCGATTTACTAAAGCCTTTGATTTTCACTTCAAAATCACAGCTTCAAATGTCTACAGAAAAAGAAAACATCTAACTTCTAATTCCACAAATTCATTCAGGTTGCAAGTGATTCTTACTCCAAATTATATCCCTCTTTTCTCAAAACCTTAGGGTAGCATTATTTTGGACATTTCCATTTACTCTCTCAAGCATTTAACCCACACATGTATTCTTCCCCTTATCAGCTTGTTAGTTCAGTATACCATTGTTTGAAAGGCTGGGACAAATCTTCAAATAAGTGACTTCAAAAGATAAGAGCATTACACATGTATCTTTTAGATTTCTTTATGAAGCAATGGTTGCATGTTATACAGTACAAAGTCTTTAATCCGGACTCGTAGAGACTTCGGCGATTCCGGATCAGGGGTTTTTCCAGATTATAGATCATCAATTTAAATCTGGTAAGATGGCATGCAGAAATTATAAAATTAAAAATATGAAACCATAATTTATGAAATAAAGAAAATTATGATCTAAAGGGTATCAAAATTTACAAAAAAAAAGCTTAATATTTATTTGTTTACTTTTAAAACATTTCTTTCAATGTAAGCTTTGTAAGTTGTTTCGTTTTTATGTGCATAACTTTCTCTTTAATTCTATAAACAGACATAATTTTTCTTGTTCAGTTACAAAGTTCCACCGTCAAATCCTGTAATTGCTGTGCCGAGAATACCGACTAAACTTGTCATTTATCTCTTGAATCTAGCATTTTTTTAAATCCTGTATGAAGAGTCAATAATTTTTTTTAAATTTATTTTTTTAGAAAAATTAATAAAATATTTCTTAAAGTTTTAAAAGTTCACTGATCAATGGGGCTATAGCTGTGTATAGGAAGAAAAGTAAAAACTGGATCATTTATAATAATCCAGGATGTTTGTTTAATATCCCAAATTATTCATGTGACTGATAGTATTTAATTTTTTTGAAGGGTGTGGAAGAGAGAGACATTTGTACAAAATGTAGAAGAAGGTTTTGATGCAAGATGCCATGAAGGTATCACTTTATCATAAATTTCATTTTTTATTGAATATTGCTGTAACCTTTATCATGTGCTATTTATTATTTTGATGAAAAAAAGTGTGCCATAATTAACTGTAACTTGTATTTGTTATGTACAGGAAATTAATTCACATATGCTTTTTTTAAATTTAATTTTCTTAAATTTTGGCTGTTATATAAATAAAATTTCATATTTTCTTTAGTAGCAAACTAGAAAACAGTACTTATTCTTTAGGGTGTTATGTATTCAGCAAAGAAAATAATATAATTTTGTTACTCAAACAAACAAATGGTAGTGCATCAGCAGTAAAATATTTTTAAAAGGTTAATTTTCAGTTATGAATATGAAGTTGGTGACTTTTGACTGTTTATGTGGTGACAGTTATAAAGTTATGAATAAATTAATAATGAAATAAGAAAATTATTGCCAATGAAGCTCACATGGCACCAATAATTAGTTACCTAATCTAAGTTCTTATAACTTATTGAGGATAAATATGATTGATTTGAAATATTGAAGAGTGATATATAGTTACAGTTTAGTAATTTTAGATACTTCTTCATTTACCGTTTAAGTTATTTCTCATAGCTCATTTCACTCCAGCTCATTTGGAATTATCACATGTAGCAAAACAAGAAGAAATTTTTCCGAGAAACAAATTTCTCCTTCTACCATTGACATAATCAACTGAAACAACTCACCTGAGTCTATATTTTGGCTGTGTACATGGGACATTTTGTGATGTAGACATAAGTGTTTTGCTTGCAATCTGCCGCATAAGGTTTTTCCCAAAGAACTAGTTTTCATGTCAGCCATTCGCATATTGCCGTCAGTGAGAAAGGTAGAAATATATTGAAAAACATACTTTGCTTTTTGCAGAAGGAATGCAGCAACATGACTAAAAAGAACAGCTAACATTTATTTCACTCTTAAAATTGACTAGGTTGCATCAGCAGCAATTTAAATAAAAACCAAAGCATGTTTGGAATTAACCAACTCTGTATTTCATAGTAGAACAACTCTGTATTTCATTCTGTAGTGAATGCATTCTAGTTCAGGAAAAGTGGTGCTGCAGTCACCCTTCCAACCACCCTCCTCCCCCACTGTTCAGTAGACAAGCTGCCAGCACATCTGTACGTGCTCTTCTGCTACTATTATTTGTGTTGTAAATAAAATACTGCTTTATAAAATGGAAGCTTTTATCTCATAGCTGCATCTAAAATTACAACATTGGTAACCCGGATTACTACAAACACTTCCTTCCACTGATGATAGAATGACAAACTATGTCACACTCCAAAGCTCTCCTTCACACATGCTCCACCCCACAACCTAACAACAACACATATGCCAGCAAATGATGTTTCCCAACCATGCTCCACCAGCCATCAACAGATTCAGCTATGCACGTCCACATACCACAGTCACTGCTCTCAACGAAACAGCCAATCATATCAATGCATTGGGCTCGCAATCACGCCCACAAACCAAACTTCTCCTTATATTGCATCAGAAATGCTTCAGAGGGGAGTGTGTAGCGATCTCGAGAGCGACTCGATGCTCACAAACTTGAAAAGAGTTGGAATTCTTGAACCTAGTGCATAGGAACTCTTTTGCGCTAGTTGTAGAGAATTCGACTCGCATTATAACAGACCCAAGATTGAAATCCCAAAGTCATTACCATCTTCAAGGGCATGCGAAACTCATGTGCTGCGGCACTTCTCATTGATGCTAATAGATGGTGACATGAGCAAGGCAACTATTCACTCAAAGCCACTGGAAAGGTCTCTCGCACCACATATTCACTATATGTTCTTAACAACATGTCATTGGCAAATCAACCAAAACTACATCATTGGCCAATCAGCATCAGTTTACAACTGATTAACCCTTTCCGGACGGGCGTCCCATATACGCATTCCCTATGAACATCTCTCACAGCTGGGCATTCCACCCACACATCATTAGAAACGAACGTAAGGGACATGTGAGGCATATATGCATTTAAGATGAACCATTTTTTAAGGCCACCAGAAGGCATCCTGTATCCATTAATTTCAAACTGAATTTAGTTTTAGGCTGGCAACCTTCAGTTTGATCATGTCCTGCGTAACATTAATGTCAGTTGTTGCGGGGGAAAAGGGAAAACATGATGTAAGCAAACAGAGCTTATCTCTTTAACTCGCCATGGGATATGAACATGCACTATTTTGATATCCCTTTGAATCATTTGTTTATTTATTTATTTATTTTTTATTTTTCTGCTACTACGTAGGTTCTTTTAGGGTACTATATAGAGTTCTATTATGTTTTGCATCGCTTTTATCGCTTATGTTTTGCACACTCCCCTTTTTGTTTTGGAAAGCCTTGACTTCAATTTATTATGGCAAGCTGGCATTGTTTATCAGAGGAAGCATATATTCACATGGTGAATGAGTCAGTTTGTGACATGGATGAGAGTAATGATTCATTTTCTAAAGAGTTAGATTCTCATATGAACATTTTATCAGAGATTGAGCTCACGGAGTGCCTGCCTTTCACTTCACGTGAAAGATTTTGTTAATTTTTGTAAATAGTTTTTCAGTCTTTCTTATATTTTTTATTAATTTTAAAATTTATTAATGCATTTTATCAATAAAAACTTTGGAATAATTTGAATAGTGCTTCTGAAAATTATTTCTCAAAAAGTTAGCAATTTTTTTTTATGTTTTCATGTAAAGGAAAAAGATTATTAAATGATAATTTTAACATATATGATAGCTTAATAATGCAAAATATTACCCAAAATTAAGATGTTAGGATGTAAACTTTGTTGTGTGTGTGCACGTGGTTCCCCCCCCCCTAAAGTTAAGCTTTGCGACGCAAAAAAATGTGCAATCACAAAACGGATCTGATAACAGTTTTAAAAGCAGCTCCCAGGTCTGATAACAGTTTTAAAAGCACATGCTTCTTCATTATAGAACAGTTTAATTGATCCAAACATAACTCTGTAGGATAAATATTTTGGTACTTGCTGAGTGTTCACTGCCACACAGAAAATTCACCAAAAAGTATTCATGAGGCAAAGCAATATGTTGCCAAAATAGTATTTATGTGGTGACCCAGATATGCATGATAGTACTTATTAGTTTTGGTCAAAGCACAATGCTAATGCACAGATGCCAAATTTGTGCAATGTTCTGGTATTTTTGCTTAAAAAATATGATAGATCATTGTATACTTGGGAAGAACAGAACCACAAAATAGGAGATTTTCTCAAGAAAAGGTAAGTTTCATAAGCGATGTTTCTTGCTTTTTAAATGTTTTGTATAGAATTCTTAATGTGCTGCTCTTTTGAAAAGTGGCTTTTGCCTTTCATGATTAACTTGACAAAAAATTAATTGCCAATGAGTTTGCAAATAGTCTTCAAAGTCAGCAATAAGTGAGTTTGCAACATTATGATGGAGGTGTAGATAATCAGAAAATGCCGATATTTTTGCTGTTACTTGAGAATTTTAAACTGGCAGATTTCTCTTTCTTGTAATCAATCATACCTGTAAATTTCCTGTTGCCACACCACTTTACATTATTTTGTATTGCATTCATTTAATAGTTAGTGTATTGACTGTAATTAATGATATATATATATTTTAAATTTTTTAAAATATTATTTTTTATTTTTATATAAATTTTCTTCAATTAATGTTACTTAAGTTATTTTAACCTCAAAAATATTTTACATAAATTAAAAAATATGTTGCCTCAAAAATATTATATGTTTAAACAAATATTTACCCTTTTAATCATTATAATAACAACTTTAAATTTATTTCGCATATGACAAATTTTAAAATAAAGAATTGCACATAATGCAGCTTTGCATTCTTTGCAATATATACACTTTTGCAAAAAAATCGAAGCAAAAAAGGACTTTTGCGATCGTGACGAAATTTAGTATCCAAAAACATCTTGATCGAGCATGCAAATGATCAAAGTTTCAAGGCAAATGAACAGAAATTGCAATCATAGTGCTCATTTCTAGTGCACAATTCGCAAAATATGAAACCAGTAACAGAGGCGAAAAATTTATCTTTTTTAATTGTAATCCATTAATTTTAATGTTGTAATTTTTTATCCATTGTAATTCCGTAAAGGAACAACTAAAGATTCCATTACGACGATATTGAAGACTTTACAGACAACTAAACAGCTTCGAACATGGTCGCATTGTAGGGTTGTGTGAAGCTAGGTGGTCATACCGAGCAATAGGCCGCACCTGCAGCGTACAGACAGTGCTGTGCAGCAATGGTTGCTACAAGGAAACTGCTGACGAAATGAAGGCTCTGGAAGGGCCAAGGAGCACAAATGCAAAGCAAGACAATATGACTGTTCGCCAGGCTCGAACCACCCCAACGGCATCATTCTCGACTATTCAATGCACTAAAGCTACGTCTATACCTCCCGTGGTACTGTCCACCATCTCACAGTGCTTGTCTAAGGTGGGGTAATGCTCACAGAGGCCTTTTAAGACATTTGCCTTTGACCCAACAATATCGGCGGAGTCGTCTGGAGTTGTGTCGTATAGTGTTCGGCGATGAATCCCGCTTCACTCTTGAAGCAGATGACCACCATGTTCGTGTCTGAAGAGGATGGGGCCAGCAATCCCAATCAGCCTTTGTTTTACAAAGGCATACAGCCATAACCTCTGGTGTCATGGTGTGGGGCCCTATTTCTTATGACAGCAGGTCATCTTTAGTCATCCTCTGTACATCTTTAACAGCTCAACGATATATTATTACCATCCTGCAGCCGGTTGCATTACCCTTCAGGGCACGTCCTTCTGGGGCCATTTTCTAACAAGATAACTCCTTGGCCAGCACGGTCACCAGACCTTTCACCAATGGAATATGTCTAGGACGTGGTAGGCCGCCAGAATCGGGCACCCCAAAATATCGCAGATCTGGAGCGACAACTGATGAATGCCTGGCAGAATGTGTCGCAGGATAACATTAGG